TGAGGAAGATTAAGATGTCCATCTGTTGCAGAGCAGTCAGCTCAGATTAGCGTGCTGATTTGGTATGATGCTTGTGCGAAAATGATTGCAAATGGAGTTAAGGAAATGTAATCCATATAAAATAGCAGCACTCAGTGTGATAAATGTTAATCAGGCAACAGCAGAATTCAGCAGGGAGAAGAAGTAAACACAGCTGAGTCCGTGTGGTGTTTACTGACCGTTTAACCCTGACCAACTGAATACAAAACTGAATAACACGAGTGACCGAGCAAATGAATCAATTAACGATTCACTGAATGAGTGAGTTAACCTGTTGACCCAGGAGGTGTATTGATTTTTTAAAAAGGACATTAAATAAAGTATTGATAACTTCGATTATCCTCAAAAGCAAAGTCAGATTCTAAATTTAAAAAAACAGGAGATCACCAGCTAGAGGAATTCGACATTCACACGAAACTGTATGTACACATACACCAGGGGTACTCAAACTTTTTTATTAAAGGTCCAGTTGTGAACTTTATACAAGGTCACTGGTCCGGATCAACGCCACTAAAGTCCCCCCCCCCGAGTGGAGAAACGAAACTGAAATTAAGAAGCAGTTTATTGGCGCTCTATGCATGGAGTTTCCCGACATGTCGTTGCAGTAAATTAAAGGGTGTTTCATGTTGTCGTTGCTGTGGACCTTCTTAATCTACCTTCTTTGGGGGCCCCCTTCTGGTCCAAGCACTTGCCTGCCTTGCCTGTCGGTAAACGGCGCCCCTGTATACACACACACATTCAATACATACATACAGTATGTCAAGGTAAACTTGCGGTTAACTTGCGGTCTGCTATGCGTGTCAAGTAAATATATATGCACGTTCATTCTCACAACGCGTCAGACACAAGACGCGCGTACATGATGATGTACATTAATTTATCAGAATCATAATTTTTTTTAATTTTTTTATAATGGGACACGGGGTTCAGTCCGGATTGATTTGCAGTTCGGTCCGGATCCGGACCTTGGTCCAGAGTTTGAGAAGCCCTGACATACACTATATAGACAAAAGTATTGGGACACGGATTGAAGGATGAAGTAGGAAATTACGTAGTGGAGGAAGAGTGAGGGAGAAACAGCTGGAAGGACTAGATGAGGTCTTTCGGTTTAAAGGATATTACAACATTCTGGGAAATATGCTTATTCACTTCCTGGCAAAGAGTTCAGTGACAGCTCAGCCCAAAGACTCTTTTAAACAGTGACAAAATACACCATCCAGCATCTCTTAAACTCACTGATGTTTTATCTCCTTTGGCCCGTCTTTCAGCCCGTTACTATGACAGGGCAGGAAGTGGAGCAGGACACTCACTTATAATATTTAGTTAAAGATATTTGACAATAAACTCACCTTTCAGACTAATGCAAAATAAATGAAAAGAAAGTCAAATGAGCGGCTCACTCACATTTAACTACAGTAACATGATTACTTTATGAGTAATATCTCATTTTTACGCCTTTGGGCAGGTCAATGCTATCTCAGCAATGCTTGAGGAATCTTCCCCACATTTAGCTCAAATATCCACTTGGACTCAAGTTTAACCTGATTTAATTTAAGGTTCATAGGACAAGGTCACTGTGTCTGCACAAAACATGCTGTGGGCCATAACTTAAGCACTCTTATGCTAATTACAACAATTTCCCACAAATGTGTTTTAGGATGAAATGAAGAAGCAATTACATTGGTGGAGGCATACAGGCAGTTCATGTGTGTATTCACTATTATTTTTAGTAATACTTATTATTGGATGAAAGTAATGTTTTGCTTAAATGTGCACGTTGTTTAAGAATTACCCTTAACTTTATCTGAAACTAATATGAAACTTGCAGATTCCTAATACCTGGATATCTTCCAAAGTTACAATCTGTTTCAGTATCACAATTCCCTGGACTGTCTTTCCTATTGTAACATATATGAATATTCACCAACCTGTATCTGACTTGAACTTCGGGTCTCATACATGTTTTACATAACTACTTGCAAATTCACTTATCCATAGCTTTCGTACTAATATCTGTGATAACTCCATCCCTCCTGCAGCGCTGAATTCAGATCTCAGATCTCCCAAACCGTCCATCTTATTTCTCATCCATTAATCTGGATCCTCAGTGCTCACCATATCTATTTCTATGTGCTTTTATGATCCAAATACTTCTTCTCGCCTTCATTTCTAAGCTTTATCCTGACTTTTCTCACAATCTCACCAAAATAAATCCCTCTATTCATGCCATCTTAACACTATCCCACTCATCCTTTCATTCGCTAGCCCCTAACCTTACTGTAGAAAAGTTTTACTTAAACAATGAAATTAGGAAATCTCGAGCGATTAGTATCACTATAAAAGGAAGTGGTACTATTCCAAGGTAGTATCTTTATAAGTTTGGCTCCAAAGACAAATCTGCTCTTCTGCTAAAAAACAGTCAAGATGTCCTGCAGGGCTGCTACTGTACAGACTGCTCCATCTTTGAAAACTCATCCAATGAAAAGGCTCCATTAATGCCTGTATGACAACCGCTAAACAAGCAGTCTTTGATCTGAATAGAAATGCACGTTTCGAAACAAATTAAAAACAAGACAATTTTGGGCACAAAGACCAAAGCAGCTGCATCAAAGAAGACCTGGTAATTCAAACCTTTAGGTATAGGAACAAGATTCAGTCCAAATTCAGCAGTAATAAGCTCAAATGAAAGGATTTGCATGAAAGGTTTCCACGATCGGGGTAATAATATAATCGAACTGGATGGTTTTACCTCGAAGCAGCTGCCAGATGACCTAAATGTATTTTATCTAGGGTCGATACTTTTTCTCTCAGAGTTTAGAATTTGTGTGAAGTTTCCAGGTACGATCTTAAAATGGACTTACATGTACATCGCTGCAAATGTATGTTTTAATATGTTTCTTTTTTCTCACTGTTTTATTAAATCAAATTGTGAAACAGGATTTATCAATGAATCTCCTTTCAAACCTCTTTTCAATGCCTGTCTGTTAGCTACTAATCTTCACATTTTGAGTGGGTGATGATTGTCAATTCTTGGCCGACTGCAAACGGAAACCAGATTGGTTCCGATAGTCAAACCTGCTGCATTCAGAATGTGTTATAGCGATAATGAAGCTCCTGTCAAAGCAGCCCTACGAGGCTCGACATGTTTACATTATACTCATCTGTTAGAAGAGAAACACAAAATAATAGTTAATTGTTCTCAAATTGCTGCAGCTAGCGGTAATAAGATTCTGTTGTCTGTATTATTTATGAATTGCCGTTTTTTAAACAACAATGTGTGCTTCTTATTTTAGGGTATATTTCTATTACATTTTCTCAAATCATTTAATTTAGAAGTTTCTGCTGTTTTCTACATACATGACTACAAACTTAATTTGACGTTTCTTTTTGGAAACTCTTTTTAATCACAGATAACAGATTGCAAATTGCTTTGCTCGAGATTCTCAATGCACGGATATAAATCACAGCAAATGGTAAATAGTTTCCATTTATGATGAAGACAACAGACTAAAGTGTCTCTACCTGTCTATGCTTCATTAAGTTCCTATGGCACTTATGGTCCTCATTAGTACTTGCTGAAACTACTTACGGTTGACAGATTCATGATGCCCAAAACAAATGCAAAACATGCCAGAGACTTCCCGAACAAATCTTTTAATGTAACGAGAACTGGCTTTAGCAGTTGACTCGTTTCACTTCAGCCCTTTCCTCTGACTAGTTATTTTGCTTTTGAAACTTTAATGTGATAAAAGCTATTCTGATATGTCAGTGTTTTTTTTAGATTTTATTTATCAGTATTGATGGTTTTATTTACATGTTTGTGGGAGGTTTTAAACATTTAGTTGTATATGCTTTAATAAATAGTTTTTCCCCATGATGCAAACTATTCCCTTAGGACAAGAAGGCTGAAGTTGGCCATCCTAAATTTAAAAAAAGCATCAGAAAGTGATTTTAGTTTTTAAAGACCAAAGATGCAGGTGGTCTAGTGATAGATAGGATTCACAGGGAGTCCATTCAGGAGATGAGATCAGACTAATCCCAGAAAATATCTCACACACACAACTCTCACACACAGGGACACCAGTTTCTCCTGCCTCTTATCAGCTCATCCTGTTATAGTTTCCCCACATTAGAGCTAAAGCAGCGCTTTGCAGCACTTAACCTGCACGTGTCAAGCTGAATTAGGTTTAGTGGAAGAGAAGACAGAGTCCTGCTGTAGAGGTACGTCCAAACTGCCTTCACACCAGTACAGCAAACCTAAATAATGATGCTAAAAACCAGGAAGGCAAAGAATAATTTAAATCCCAATTTATGTTCTGCTATGCTAGTGGTGTGGCTATATAGCAGTTGTCATTTAATCAACCTCAGTTTAAGTGAAACCTTACATAAATTCTAGTATTTAGAAAGTGACAATGTTTCAGTTGAACATTGTGTACTCTTAATAGTACAGTTGCAGTTAAATGGACATTTTACATGCACCATCTGTGTATGAGTGCACATGTGAAGGAAAACGTCCACAGTGACTGGATCAAAATACTCTAAAACAGGCAGCCCTGTGTGTGTGTGAGCTCCCGCAGACTCAGATAATGGAGCACGTACAGTAATGTTAAACTGGAACTTGCATTCATATAAGGAGTACAATTTGCATAAAGCTGTACGTAAAGGCCACGTCATTTACATGCTTTTGTGATGCTAATTGTGACATTAAACTATGTGGAAATGGTCAGAGACCTGCATAATGATTCGAAGACCTCACTGAGTGGGGTCAAGGTGTTCCTGCTGAAGTGCCTTCGAGCAACACACTCAACCTCAACCCAGCAGCAGGGCCACTGACATGTTTCTGACGTTGTGTTCTGCATTGGAGCCAAGAAGAAAAAAATGTCATTATGACCATTGCAAGATGATAATTGCAGATAGAGCCCCCTCTTCTGGAAATTATGAAATAATGCAGATAATTTGGCAAAAGTACATGGATCTTTAATCATTTTCATCAAATAGATACTTCAGGGGTTTTCATCAACGACAGCTGAGATGTTATAATGATAATAGATTTTTTTCCCTCAGGGGGAAAGATAAACTCAATTTAGATTTTGATGCAGTGATGAGATTATCTAGTAAGTCTGCCTTTTAATATCAACAATAAAAACAGCCCAGAAACAATCGTGGGTTTTAGTCAAAGCAAGCATGTACAGTAGTAGAGCTGTAAGAGTACAATACAATCTGCAAATACGCATGACAAATATAACTGAATATAACAAAAGACTCTAGGCTGAACAGAAGATTACATTTAAAATAACTGAGGTCCACTTGTTTCTCTGTTAAGAGGCCACTCACACACACTTAACCTGTGTTAATGTGTCCATGTGAAGCACGAGGCCTCAGCAATATAAAGTCAACATCAGCAGCTAGCAGTACAGCTCTTCTAACCAGCATGAGAAACTGTTTTTAACTAAAACTGGTGGATTTAAAAAGTAAAACCGATGCAGGGAAAAGCTTGAGCAAAACTGTGATCACAGCAAAATGAAAAAGCAAGAAATAATGTTGTGGAAAAACTGGAATTTAATAAGAAACTATTGCTAGTACGGTGTCAAAAACCTGAAAACAACCTTGCAAAATGATATCCCTGTATCAAGCCAACATGTGCTATTAGCCTGTATGGAGCTCCACCCTTTGAGGCAACCAGGAAGAATACAGGATCAGTACATTCAGTTGGTGTTATAGAGTCTTCAATGGATAGGCCTCTAACCGTGCAAATATCTGTAACGAAACCAACTTAAACCTTCAAGTTTTTAGTGAACGGTTGGTCCACTGAATCAAAACATCCTAACTTAATTCAACATGTTAGAAAAAACACATAACTGTAAGTATGGTACTACCATAAAGTTCAGCATGAAACAGTTAAAAATGTCAGTCGGGTTAAAATGGCCATCTGAGAGAAAAGGCCACTCCTTTAGGGATGGAAGCTCCCGTTGGTCCGGGCTGGTCCAACGCCTCTGTCCTCAGTCAGTCCTCTGCTGGGTGCATTCGGTTGAAATCCACTGCCAAAGGAACTCGGAAAGGAAAATGTCAAAACATAAAAACAACCTGATGGGCACAGGTCCAGCATGTCTGGTGGTCAGTAGGGGGCCACGTCAGTAGTTCTTTGCAAGTAAAAATCTGCTTAGCTACAGAATGTTTTTGAACCCAATGAGCAGCCGTCAGCTGTCAGTCAGGGCTCCCTGGAGTACAGAAGGTCGGTTGTGTTAGCGGTTATGTAACAGGCTGTCAAAGACACACTTGGACAGACTGTCCCATGTGACCAGGCGAGCAGCCAGTGAGTGAAGGAGACTGTCTATCACTCGATCAATCGTTAAGGCGACAGTCACACAGCTCCTTGTGGATTCTCTTGCGTATGCGCGGCATGTCCTCCTGACTGAAGAGCAGAGGCTGCCTCACCGAGAGACAGCGGCAGTACTGACAGAGCAAAACACAGAGAAAAGACCCATTTTTAAATCATGAAATGTAGATGGGCCAGACATGTTTATCTGCCTACCTAGCTTTTGGTAATGAATGATACAATGAAAATGTAGTTAAAATATGCAATGTTTTTTTGGTCAAAATCTGACCCAAAGTGCAGTAAGGATGAAAAAGAGCCATCAATGCCATCAATGAAAAGAAGAATAACAAGTGGCAATAACACACTCTACTAGTATCTCCCCCTCCCCTAAAGTGCTTAGTGAGGATTTCTACAATCCACAACAACCCATCTAGTTGTGAGAGCCAACCACAACACCAGATTGGCAAAAGTATGTGTTAAATTACCAACCTAATTCAACCTGATGTGCAAACTGCCGACTTTATGCTTTGTAGGAGCACAATTGTCAGGTGAAGAGAAAATGACTGAGTGGCCGGCACTTGTCGTGTGTTAAATATCATATTTATGTCGGGCTATTCCACTAATTGCCTCCAGGCTGGTTGTGGCCCGCTGTCGGCCAATTGAATAGGCCCGACGTAAACAATGACAGAAGCTTCCCTACAGTGTCTTTCCCCTCTCAGAGACTCAGCAATGATCGCACTTGAGTCGAAACCTGGGGCAGAAAGACACTGGAGGCACAGCTCTGTTTATATTTCCAGGAAGAAAAACAGATAAAGCAGAAAATAGAGAGAAAACAGGGACAGAACATGATGAAAAGAGATCAAATACATCGGTGATAAACGAAGGACCGAAGGACAGTTGAATAGCGGGAATGAATAATGTCTAACCTCGAGGACGAAGACTCCACAGTCGCTGTCGTTTCTCTGCTGAGGAATGCCCTGAGGAGTCAAAATGTCAGTCAAACAGGAGCAAACATGTCAGAGTTACATCTTCTTCTAGAATGAAATGCTGATGGATCTATATGTACTAATCTACTGTGCATGCATACAATAATTACATCAAGGTATCTAAAAGTGATGTTCAGGGATAGAGCCGTTCAACAACATTACTGACAAAAACATTGTGTTTGTTCAATAAATGGCTTAATAAAAGAATAAATCCAGCAGATGTGAATATAATTATTATATGTTGGAATTATTTTAGCAGAATGCTTTTTATACTCTAGTATAATTTGAACATGTTGTTGTTTCTATGTAGCATTATTAATATTAAAAATGTTATGAAGACGTGATATTGGATCGTGCATTTAGGCTGTAATGGAGGCATTTTCCTCTAAAGGTATCGACACACAACTCTATAAAGAAAGAGTCTTCCACCTTTTGCTTTGGACTAACATCAACTGTGGCAGGCAACATAAATGTTTCCAGGACACATGGTGAACACAGCGTGAGCAGAACAGTCAGGGTTCAAGGTCACCTTGATGATGGTAATCTTCCAGCCTTTCTGGAAAGCTGTCTGCTGCTTCTCTCTGGCTTCAGACTGAAGGTACTTCATTATGTTCTGATAGTGAAACACACACACAGAGAACACAATTATGGATTGTCCCAGCAGCAAACATTTTCAACAAACAGCAATATCAATTCAGTTTCCATAATAAAGACGGTAATGTGCCAGCATTTTAAAGGGAGAGCAGATATAGTATCATCAAGACATCAACACTTCTCAGTCTTTCATGCAGATGGTGAAAAAACGAGCTACATTTTAACCTGAAAATGATATGGCTTGGGGTCCGTAATTTGTCTTTCACAAATGAATCTACTAATTTACTATCAAAGTAAGTTCTGCTTTATGGCGAAAAAACCTGGATTTTCAAAGAAACCACTCTGTCTATGTGCTCAAACTGAGAAAGCAACCATTAATCGTGTAGAGTCTCTAGCTAAGAAATTATGGACCAATAATTTATGCGAGCAGAGAAAAACAGGAAGTTGCAGAGTTAAGAAATTGCCAAAAACAAACAACGATGAATTCCAACCCAAAAACACAGAGGCTCTCACATCTGTGGTGTGTCTGAAGACGATGCCTTGGCTGTCGTAGTAGCTGATGGTTTTGGTTGCCATGGTGACCGTAATGAGAGACCAGTGGATTTCTAAATGGATGGGGAAGAGCAGCAGCCACTTGGAGAACAGGTCAACCTGCAATAATCCCACAAATGAACATAAATACAAATTAGAGCTCTTCAAATGCCAACACTTTAAAAAGTCAAACTACAGGACAAACAGGTCCTTCAGCGTTTCTGTTGAGCACTAGTTTGCTGGCTGATTTCATTTATTACAAGTTTAAAAGTAGGCACTACAAATAAGTCAGAAGTTAAAATGTGAATTTCAGCTTTTGAAGCCACTCTTAAAACAACTGGAAAATGGCTAAACTGTTGAATCTTCATCCTTACTTTTTTAGTCCATCTCTTCACACCCTCGTAACCCTTGGCAACAAGCTGCTTGTGGAAAAAGCTGTTGAAAAAATGAACCTGAGATAGAGACACAAAAATAAATTACTTTAAACACATTTCACAATTAGAAGGACACATTGTGCACATGTTCAGGCTCATACTTATTTTACATTTATATATAAATATTTTTTTATATAAATATTATTTGTTTTGAGCCAACAAACACATCCTTACTTACCTTGTGTTGTGTTGCCTCCATGATGAGTTCTCCATACATGTTGATGATCTGAGCAAACAGCAAAACACACACAGTTTCAATGTAAGATCCTCACTAAAACAAACATATTTTATACTTCTTGTTATCATTGCCGGATATGAGTTTTAGAGTGACTAATGCGTTCGAAGTTAGAAGAAGTGTGATGGAATAATTATTTGATGTCACTGTACAACGCTTCATCTGTGTTTACCTGGTCATTGAGCCAGTTTTGTTCCTCCAGTGTGCTGAGGTCCTCCAAGCCCAGGGTGTGTTTGTTATACGACAACATGAAGCCTGCGATAGGAGCAGAGGCCAGCCCCGCCCTGTACCGAGTCATCTCCCTTTTGATGTCCAGGCCCCTGAAACAAAAACAAGAAGATCAAATGAAGTAGAAATGTAATACAAACCTACAACCTTTTCATTAATACCCTCAAGGACATTTGAAAAGAGTGACATTTCATAAAAGGAAAGAGATCCCATGAGGATCATAAAAATAACATTTCTTAAAAAAGGAAGGATTAAAGGTTTGAACAGAAACGAAGCTGCTAGTGTCATTTTAACAACCGTGCTTCCCAAGAGAGTTTTAACAATAGAAGAATCTGAAAACCATATTGGCTAGATTTGGAAAAATGATAACATAATAACATGCCATGCCTAGATAATAAATGGTTCCATATGAACTGTAAATAACACAAAGGTAGAGGTATGTTATATAAGCCCCACATAACCAGCAAACTCCTATTTACAAAGCTTCATTATCATTGTTTATGGCTTATATGTTTTACCTAATTCTTGTCAACCTGTGACATGAATTACTACTTTAATGTGTGATTGAGGGATTCAGATAAACCATCAAGCAGTGTGTGGGTTTGTAGACTAACCGGTTGCTGAGGTGAGTGTTGCCTTTCTTCTTCAGGTGTTCCAGGACATCATTCTCACTTAGAGGATTAAAACTTCCATACTTCATGTAAAAGCTCTCCAGAAACTCTGAAAGATTAGATAGATGATCTGCTAGCTTAATAACAACACCAACATGTTTGGTTTTCTCTGAGCTTAACACCCACATTTCTTTGGATTAGACTTGAGTAAACATACACAATGCTGGTATTTGCACATTGATTACCAATGAATCAGTATTCCCTTGCAGTGTATGACGAACAAACATTTATGCTGTCATAGGAAAAAGAACACAACACATTTTATTTCAAGGAAGACATAATTATTTGTATTGTGTCTTTAAATTGTTAAATTAAAAAGAGAAACATTGGATACCCATTGATTCATAAAACATGCAGAGGACCATTGTTTTCATGAAAACAATTTGTGTAGGAAATTCAGTTCTTCTAGGAAAATGCCCCATAAACATTCTGTGTGTATGTTTCAAGGATGAGGTCACATGTTTTTTATGATTATCATATGAAAAGTGCAATCCCTAAGACTTTGTGTGTTAAAAAAGATCAGTGATCTACTACGCTTCAACAAAATGAGAACAAATCTTACCGTGGATCATATCCGTAAGCTGCTCCAGGCTTTCTTTATTCTTCCTCTCTCCATCTATCACTTGTCCATTGGTTCCTTCTGAGGGTTCTTTGCCCCACACCTCCTCCACCCCCGCCCTGTCCCAGGTTTCAGAGTTACAGTACAGCCGGTGGTCTCTTAATGCCCAGCTGTGCTGCATGCTGCACACTGTGATTGGTCCCTGGAACGAAGGAGCAACCGGAGTTGGGTGAGAAGCATCCACCTCCATGAGTGTGGAGCAGTGGTCATTTGTTGGTGAAGCGTCTTCTTTTCCATTGGACCGAGTTACTGGTACAGTTCTGTCAGGTGTCTTGTCCACCTGCATCTCAGAGTCCAGGTCCTTGGGAGACCCTGACATTGAACCTGGACTGCACAGCAGTGAGATAGATACAAGTCCATTTTTCGTTACACTCGTCATCACGTTACCCTCTTTCGTCTCCTCCTCAGTGTCACTCAGGTTTACAGTGTCTCCATTTGCAATGGGAGAATTAACTGAGCTGGGGCAAGTTTGCTCTCCATGTACAATATCTGAATCATTGTTTTGACCCTGCTTCTGCATTGAAACGACTGGAGATATTGCATGGCTTTTTGAATGAATGACAACACCACTTAAACCTGCCCACTTTCTTTCACCATCTACTTCCATTTTTGATGCAGACGTAGCCATCGCCCTTCCCCTCGTCCCTCTCCCTCTAACTAATGGGATTCCCCTGCCTGCCATTCCTAGCATTGCAACATCCCTGCTACAACTGCCTACTTTCCCACCTAACCCTTCTATCAACACATCGCCCTTAATCTGCCCATCTTTTTTCTCTGGAGCAACATAGTTCTTTATTGGTCCCTCCTGCAGGGAGACTGTGACGGGTGGAGCACCAGGAGCTTCTGACTCAGTATCAGCAACGACTACAGTCCTTTGCACCTTCTCATATCGATCATGGTCACACTCTGCTTCCTTAACTGCCTCCTTGGCCAAATCAAAACACTTTATCCTTGTTAGCTGGCCATCCACTTTCCTTTTTGGGGTGTCCCCGAGGTCCCTACTAAGCCCCCTTCCTCTCCCTCTCCCCCTTCCTCTGCCCGAAGTATGGGCATTGTGTCCTGCACTGTTGGGGCCACAGCAGTCACAGGCTTTAGGGGTCCTCTTCCTGCCGGACGTGCGGCCATTAACTGAGCCCTGAGATGCGGTAGGTGTCTGTTGAGCGGAGCAGGCTGACGCTGGGCTTGAAAAGGTAGTAAGTGCTTCTGCTGGGATTACAACATGGGGCTTGGTATCAGCAGGAATTAGAGTCGAGGGCTGTGTTGATTCTGAGTTTGAAGAAAGGTCTGTGTGGAGGGGTTTGGAAGGAGTCTGGGTTAGGTCTTGATGGGTAGTATCTCCAGGTGGAGGCACCAGAGGTGGAGCTCCTTGCAGAGAAGGTGCTGAAGCAGGAACAGTTAAATGAGAGGATGATGTTGTCATTGGGGATGCAGAGCCGCTGTGAACCATGACGTCCTCCTTTGGCTCTTCAACCCCATCCCCAACTCACCCTCTCCACACTCCTGTCCTCTCCTTTCCCAGTGGTCCTCTAAACTTTAGATGTTGTGGTTTGTTCCTTCCTTGATTTTCCTCCAGGTTGTTTTCCTTCAAGTACTTTTGGTGTGTAGGAATAAAGTTGTCCTCAAGCCTTTTCCACCATAGTGGTCATTGACTCGAACATGAAAGATATTAACCTGTTCCTCTGTGATAGGTGGACTCCGTTTGGAATCATAACACCATGGTCTTCTTATTAGAAAAGGAAGGAAACAGGGAGAGAGAACAAGAGTGAAGAGACATGTTAGCAAGCTTCTCTAAAACAAATATGTGATGTTTTAAAGTGCAAAGCATGACTCATATAAAATAAAATGAATATATTACTCCGTCAGCAAAAAAAACAACAGTCATTTATTTTGAGCCTATTTCGAAACTGAAGAAGCAATAGTTCTAACAAATGTCCTTATGGATATTAAAATAGATGACAAAAAATGTAAAATACACACATTTAATTCTTAGTAACAACCTTACATTACCCACATCTAACGTTGATGTTACTCTGTGCAACAGTAAGATTATCTTTAAATTACACGTGGATAACTGTTCAGAAACAGTATGTGATTATGTAGTTTTAGCTTGCAATTATTTCACAAACACACAACAAGTACTTAACTGAGACTGCAAGTCAAAAAAGCTTTACTTCTCAAAGAGGTGTTATTTCGTTTGGAAGCTAACCTCGTAGCTGCCGTTAGCAAAACAGCAGCCAAACGTATCAATTATTGAGCAGCAACATGAAGGTGTATGAAGATAAATTGACCATAAGCAGCCTTGTTAGGGGTTAGCATATTTGCAACTGTCTGCTAAAACTACCACAACCAATTTAGTTAATAAGTATACAAACACACATTCCGTTAGCTCAGTCGGTTCAACACGGGGCTGCAGGGACACTCCAACACACCGTTTGAGAATCTAATGTACTATCCGATGATTAAACTAGCTCAGTATTGCATTTCACAAAGTATGCATAAATTAGTAATTCACTGGAAGCTAGCTAAATTAGCTAGGTTAGCTAGCTGCAGCCAAAACACAGGCGAAAACACAAAGCAGCGACTTCACACATTTCCTCCATTTTCGGTAGGAAGTTGGAGGCTTCTAAAGACACACGTGATGACGCCGATCTGTATTTAAAGTGACATGAAGCACAAGCCAAAAGCATGAAGAAAAGTGAAAAGAAAGACCATTATACTCTACCTTGTCTATGATATAAATTGAGTTGGTCTAACCACGATTTGAAGAAACAACAATTCAAGCAGTCGTCGCTTCTTGATTGCGTCACTGCGTTTGGATCATCTTCGGCTGCCTCCCTCCCGAAGTAACCCCTCCAATTGTTTAATCAATATTTCGATTTCATCTTCCTCTTCAACTGTCTATCCATAAAATGAGGTTTCTATATTGTACAAGAGATAATTTCTCCATTTATATTTACTTTTATTGGCATTAGCCCGCATGTAAATCACAGGATATATTTTACTCTTAATTTCAAGCTACTGTACAGAGTATTCAAATATATTCTGTATATTTTATGTTTAGATACTCCTCTGAATATATGTTTTTTTTTTACTGAGAATATGTAGATACAGTTTTTAAATGTTTATCTTTATTTTATTTGTATTTTATTCGATGTTTAAGTACATTTGTAATCCTTGTAGATATAATACATTTCCCAATTTGGGATAAGTATCCATCTATCTATCTATCTAAATCTGTATTGCCATAGTTAATAAAGGATCATATTGGTTTTGAAGAAAAGCAAGGATAATTCTTATCTTTACTATAGAATAACTATTATGCATGATATATTACAACAAGTATTATTATGGTGTATAATCCCTTTGATCATTATTATAATTTCTAACCACCAGACCACTGACACAGCACACACTGTATCTTGAAAACCTTTAATTACAAAATACAGGAAAACAATAAATAAAACTAACAGTCAAAAGTAAAGAAATTAAGTACAAAATTATCAACAGTAAAATGTAAAAAAAAAAGTAAAAAAGAGAATATTAACATAATGTTAACTGGTTGCTTTAGACCAGTAGTTTCCAACATTTTCATAGCAATGACTTTTGTAAAACTAAGAAATCTACCACAGCATTACCTTATTCTTTTTTTTTAACCAACAAAAAACATATTCAAAATATATTTGAGCTTAATTCAAAGTTTACGCTCACCCACTCAGACACTTCGGCTTCAAAGTTATTGCAGCAGATTATGTATTGAAATAAACAAAGTCAGTCTGTTGCTATACATTTCCATTTGTACATAAGGTCAGTGCTATATACCATTCTCTACTTGCATGATCAAAAACAACAGGCATAATAAGTCTCTTTACAAGTGTCATTGGGCTCCAGTGATGTTGAGAAATAAATCTAAACACCTAACTTTTCACATACATGTCCTGCATTAATATAGATAGAGGAAATCTTTTGAAAAGCTTGCATTTTTAATTAAAAATATAGGAAAATATTGTTTAGGGGTAGATGTGTCTTTACTTAAGTCGCTTTTTATATTGGAACCATGTGCAGGTACAGTTATTTCTTTACAATTTGTACAGAAAAATAAAGATTTAGGCCATGTCTTTTGGATCAGCTGAAATATTATTCATCGAAAAGATGAATGATTTATTTCCCATTAGAACAAGCTCACAACCATCCTGATATTGTGATTAAAGAGGGTAGGAACAATGGTTTATATGAGAGTGATCACTTTTACACAGTTGCATTCTATATTGTACAGCTCATGTTGTCTGCACTTGAACTGCTATGATAAACATGTTGCACTATAGACAGTAGAGAAGTGGGTGTTGGGGATGTTCAAGAGCTTGGTGCGGCAGATGATGACATCTGCAGAGTTTGGGCCTGAAAGAGATCATTGGTACGGTTGAGTAGACAAAATATGACAATTATAATGCTTTTATAGAAAACAGTAAATGTATGCTATTGGTTTTGTGATGGAATGACATATAGTTATTAACAGAGATAAAAACAGCAGTGAGTTACTCGGTAAGAACCATTACCGATCAGAGTGTGGCGTTGATAGCTGGAGTGTGTATGGTCTTGAAGACTGTGGCCCCTTTGTTTCCCCCTGCTGTTAGCACCTGGAGCTGCAGCTGGTAAACACTGTCAGCCTGAAGACCATAAAGTGGCACAGACCGCTGATACTGTGGAGGGCAAAGCAGGGTAAGTTCACTGACACACACAAAATATACACTATTTATGCTTCACAATAACACAAATATTGTAAAATATTGAATATCACAAGACTCTATTATGTACTATTGGATTTGTTTGCCCTTTTTTTATTTCAAATTAAATATGTTAATTATTGTTTTTTTCTCTGAACTGTCTTCTCTGCTGTAACAATGTACATTTCGTTGTTACGCTCATGATTCCCCATTTTAAATGTATTTTAATCAGCCTTTTCCTTTTATAATTTGTGTATTGTTTACTTATTATATATTTTTAAATACAAAATTAAAAGAAATAAGGAGAAATGTCCCTTTCATATTTCTAAGGAGTTTTCCTCTTGCTGGTAATATACAATCCAGTCAATGTGTAGACCTGTCTTCGTGTCTCACCGGTGCGATTGTCTGCGTCTGGGAGATAAGTGTGTCGTCCTGCCCCTCTGTTGCCGTGGTAACCCCTGATTGCAGCGTCCAGGTGAACTGGAAGCCCTCCACAGCTGCAGGGTCAAGTGCATGCTGGGACATCCTCCAGCGAAGCGTCGTGAGCAGGGTGCCATTGACTTGTTGGAAGTCTGCGGTCAGTCTTTCTGGACGCAGTACCACCTTTCTGCCTGCCAGGAGGCGCTCTGTCAACAACAGAGGACATTTGTCAGTGTGCATAAAAAAACGTTTTGCAACAAAAAAAGTTTTATTAGCAGAACTTCTGGAATTTTAGGTTTAACCTTTTATGAAGCAAATGTCTATAACTTGCCACAAATGTATGTAAAAAAAGCCATACACTGCTTGTAGCTTCGTATAAATAAAGTTAGAATCCTTCAAACAAAAGATACGATGAGATAAGATAAAGTTCTATTCATCCCCGTAGGGAAACTCAGGTGTTTTAGCAGACACAGAAATAAGATTGATACACAGGATAGTACAGGTAAGAGTTCACACAAGGATTTATAAAGAATTGGGTGATGCTGTTTACATATATACAAATACGGGTGATTTGAATATCAATATATATATATATAAATGTCTGTGTGCAAGTGCAAGTCCAAAGTAGGTAGATACGGTGCATGTTCATATTCTTAATGCAGCACCTCTTGTGATCATTGTAGTGTCAAAAATGTATGTTACATCGTCTTAATTGTTCTTTTTGCATTTATTTAGAATAAAATAGAAACATAATTACACTTTTTTGACACTAGCAATCATGAAGCCATAGGACCTTGGCTTGACCTTAGTTGTTATGACTTAGTTTTAAAGGATTATTAGTCATTTTGAAAGCTATTTAGTATTTCTTTAAGCAGTGTACAGTATAATGCTCTATAGACATGTCCCTCATAGAAAGTGAAAATAATTATGTGATGATATATAGTCTCACCTTCATTGTTGCAGGGCAACGCTTTACCTCCTCTAACCTTGATGGAGGAGCAGGTCGGGGTTGTAACCCAGGCGAGGGCCTCTGTCCCCGGGTCAGCCTTCGTTGATACGGCCACCCTGTACTTACAGGCAAACTGCAGGCCTGTGATGGTGTGATGGGTGCCCTGGAGAAAGAAAATCAAGCCAATTTAAGGATAAAAAGATTGTTTAAACTGTACACAGCTGCTTGTTAAAACAAACATATTACAAGGTTTCCTAAAATACACACATGACCTCTATTTTTGTTTGGAAACCTGTCTCACATAAGCAGCTTGTTAGCTCCATGTTCAAATAAACATCTCTGTTTGAAACAGCACTTGGCAACTTTGCAGGTTGGCAGCTTCAAATGGCGAGAAATTGTTTAACTGTTAAAGAAACGTTGAGCTTCAATAAATAGAAAAGCATGCTCTGTGACGCCAGCAAATTGCAACCAGCACTTTGATATTTATCAAGCCACTGGGTCTGTGATCATTTTAGACGAGAGGTCAACACCGTGTCAACAGCGGGTAAAAATGTAATGTTGGTGAGTAGTTTTCTCTTGATGAAATGCTGTGAGTAGATACCTAGTGCACGGAGATACCTAGTGCACGGAGATACCTAGTGCACTGTATACACTTAATAACAGTTTGACTTTTAAAAGGCTCCTAATTATTGCAGCTACTTCATGATTTGGGACTAAAATTGCAGCATTTTTAAGATTTGGGGGCCATAAATGAAATTTATTTTTAACATATTTAATGGTTATAACTAAGATAATTCTGCAAATCTCTGTCCCTTAACTCCTTCTCAGTCAAACCCCTTTCTTTATTTTCAATTGTATATATGTATTGTTAGGATATTTTAGCCTTGGATTCAACATTGTGATGATAAAAGATATGTGAGTTATATGATAGTGGAGAGACAAGGTTACACAAAGAGTGATCTTAGTTAAGTTGATCAAATCTGATCTCTAATACAGTCATGCACACAAAAAGACACAATAACAATGCTCACATAGAAACAAAACAGCTACAGATTTCACGCACACAGAGACAAATAAAACTCCTCCAAAAATGACTGGTCCAGGATAGAAATACCTGAACAGTTGTGGTTCTGTCTGTGCTTGTAATATTTGTACTGCAGGTATGTGGACGCCATCGCAAAATGTATGGACCCCGATGTTTCTGCTTGCCTGTAAAGCAAAAGACAGACGGATACAGCATAAGTGGAATGTTTGTATTGTGTTAATTATTATGAATTTCACAGTTTGAAACCAAAAAAACAACAATTTCATGATGCACATTTATGAACTTCCTGCCAAAATCAACTCACCGTGGTGAGGCCACTTCCAGAACACCTTCACCTGCAGCTGGTCGTCATGGTAATGAGGGGCGGCGACCTCCAGGCGCAGGTTACCAGGGTTAAGGGAGGATTCAGGGTGAGGCAGAGAGGGGGAGAGGGAGATGTCAGGGGAGGAAGGAGAGGAGGATGAGAGGGAAGGTGAAGAGGGAAGAGATGATGAGGATGATGAAGATGGGAGCTCATTGGAGAATTCTTCACCTTTAGTGGAGGAAGAGAGGAGAGGAGAAGAGACAGTGGAGATAAATGAAAAATGAAAAATGTCACAACTTTCAACTTCAGCTGATTTTAAGGTATTTGTTTGCAATAAAAAAAGCGCAATAAAAGTTAGAAAATATAAAAACATATAGCTAATACAAGACTAGCCTTGCAATTGAGAAAATATGTTATGTTGTCAGATAACTTTAAATGTATAGACCTCCAAAAAACTTAAACCTAAGCTTTGAGTCTCAAAGCAGTATTAAAAAAAATATATGTTGTACTCCATTCTTCAGTAGCACTTTTTGAGTACCTAACTGGCAACTTCGCAAACACATTTGAATGACTGAATGTTTGAAACCTGTTATATAACACGTGCTATCTATAAATGTTTTATATTGTGCCAGGAATACCATAAACTGGTGCAGAGAGTGCAGCTGGTAGCTAGCTTTCCTGTTAATTCCTTCACTCAGAAGCATCACATGGCTTTATCTGGCCTACCTGACCCTCATTAGCATTGAGGGAAACCAGGCTAAAATGTGCACTGTGTCAAATATTAATACTGGAACATTATAAATAATTTCCATATTAAATTGTTGATATGTGGTTTGATAATTGAGCTGCAGCTGGCTATAATCCTCTGCTGGGCTGACCCACAGGTCACCTATAAATACCTCTGTTGCCTGGACGACCATTTACATCGTCACTTTCCATTGTATGTTTGTGTTTAAACTGTGCAGCTGCAGGCAGACAAAATATGCTGACAGACAGTAAATTCAGCTATTTTATACGTACTGAAAACATTAACTCAATAATGTATGAGTCCGTTACCAAATGGGCGCGATGGAGTGTACAGTATTAACTAAATGCATGGCAGGATAAGTTTTACAAATGAGTGAGTCTATATTTAAAGCTGGAGTTGCTCGGGGAGTCCTTAGGTGGCTGTATTGTTGCAACACAGAAACAAAAACAGTACAGCTACAGTTTACACTACTTCGTTTATTTATAGCCACTAAAAGTGTATTCACTCAAACACAACTGTACAAAACCTTCTGGATATTTGGTTCCTAATTAAATATAAAACATACAGTATCTTCATAAGCGACTTCGGGATCTATATATCAAATTTTAGAATAAATACAGTATGAAGCTGCATATTCTTTATTACAATATTAGACCCTGCATCAGGAACTGCACCTATTTAAACACTTTGCACTTTGGGATTGCTTTTAGCTATGAAAAGTGTTTTAAAAATAAAATGTATTATTATTTGTATCATTATTCAACTCAGACAATATTCATTTCTGTATAACATCTTCATATCGATAGACATTAAAAAGATAGACAAAAAAACCGTACTCCAAATCCTTAAATGCATTTCAATCGCAATCCAAAAAATTGGATATAGTTGTATGTGAAATATCAAAAGTATACCATCATGAGGACAATTGTTTGTTTACTTACCTGTATGACTTATTGTGTTGATGACAATTTGGGCTCTGGGGCTTTTCAGCCTCTTCTGACCCCAGTAGGCCACCGTCTGGACGGAAAAGAAGTAGGAAGTAGCTGGCAACAGACCCTGCAGCCACATCTCACACTGTGCCTATAACACATCAAATGTATGGTTTATTTGTCTTTGCGATTGGTGATACTTGGCTACTTCTTAGTCTGACATTTACATTTGCTAGAATTTAACCTTGGTGTGATAGAAATGGTACAAACATACATTCAAAAGCTAACTCAGGGTCACCACTATAGCCATCACAGTTATTATCTTCACCATCCCTACTGTCATCACGAGTGTTGTGCCCTGCTTTGTGACTGACGGTCCAGACCTGTTCTGCATTAGTCTGCTGTTTGACTGACAGCTAATTAACAGGCTCTTAGTCAATCAGGGCTGTCTGCCTGTGTGGATTTGAGCTAGTCACAACAAAGAGATGCTTGGATGATAACAAGCGTGTGTGTGGTTCTGTATGTGCGCACACTTAAGAAAGAATGAGACAAAAGTAAGTTAAAAGCAGTTTCTTGGTGACCTGCAGACAAAATGGGGTTGAAGTATTTCCATTACGCTCAAGATAGACAAAACATATGGCCTTTACAGCTGTGTGTGTGTGTGTGTGTGTGTGTGTGTGTGTGTGTGTGTGTGTGTGTGTGTGTGTGTGTGTGTGTGTGTGTGTGTGTGTGTGTGTGTGTGTGTGTGAAACAGAGAGAAGCCTGGAATTGTATTCTGGTGCTTAATGTCAGTGAACATCAGATGTAAGAGGCTGATGTATATTTAAAAGCACTGATTCAGCAGAGGTTTTTCCATGTTTTATATACTTCCTAAGGATTTCCCTTTTTACTGTTTTTAATGTTAAATCCCTCCAGTGCTGCATACATTCCTTACTGACATGATATATATTTGAGTACACATCTTGGGAATGTATTGTCATGGGCTAATGGATAGTAAAAATACAAATGCTCTCTGGGTTATGAGAACTATTTTACGCAGCGTAGAGCTGGTATTCTGGTTCCTACCTACCTGTGTGATGCTGCGGTCTCTGTGTGTGTCTAGATGCAGCTGCAAGTAGGAAACACTAGTTAGGGGGCCTCATTTAAATTCCAGGCGTCTCAGCCAAGCAGAACAGACTAGAGATAAATGGCTCCACCAGGCTCAGTCTGGGATCGCCATCACCACTTAGGATAGTTAGGTCCGTTAAAACCTCCAAACTTTGATGTTTGTAATTCTTTTGTCTCTTCTCTTGAAGTGGACGCTCACATTACAACATTTAAGTCTAAAGCTGAAAGATCCTTTGCAAAGAGTACTGTTCAGCAGTTTGAAGAATAAATGTTCACTTCACATGCAATCATAAGTGTTGCGTCAAAGCTGTAATATCTTTGTTGTTTACTGTGATTATGGGTATTTTGGCGCTGCTGACTGGACTTAGTTGCAACGTGAACATATTACATCACCATCACGCCTATAATCATATAGTTATACCCACCCTCCTGACTGTTATTGCTGCATTAAATGTCATTTAAAAAAGTACAGCAATAAACCTTTTGCATTTTTTAAGGAGTTACTCTTTGATTTGAGCAGCAAGGAGACAGCAATGATTCACTGTATATTCACTGTAAAATAAGTTCACATCTTAATCAACAGGCTGCAACTACAGGAATAAATAATGATCTAAACATCAGTCATATAACTCTACCTTTGAACAGATCTTCTACGATAACTGGACCCTAACTCACTAAAGGCATGTTGTCAGTACAATCTCAGATGCTTTGACTTGAGTTAAACATGTTATCCAAACGCAGAAAAGCCACTTCTCTCTGTTGTCAATCTATAATGGCTAAGACGTCGTGTTATTTACCGCTGTGAAGCCAGACCTGCATGTTTCCAAAGCACTCTAACAAAGTTAAGTCCTGAAGAAGATAAGGTAATGTCTGTTTGAGGACAATATTGCATTTTTAGATCCACAAGGAACATGTGCTGAAACTGCAAAAGTAAAGGGAACGCGTGCCTAACAGTGATTTCACGGGGAATACGTAAAACCAGATCTGAAGAGGAGCACATGTAAAAATGATTTCGGTAAATATATCAGCATGTAACGTCATAAAACCAAAGTGAGAGAACAGTACTTATCTTTAAAAGTTAAATCAACTTTAGTGGCATCTAAGCTTCAAGTAAAAGTTTCCAGATTTACATACTGTATGTAAAAAAGCTTTTTTCCATCTCCTAATAGTTGATCATTTTTGAATCCACATGCTTTAATGATATAACTGTTTGATATATGTCTAGATTTTAATGTCATTCATTCGGAATAAATCCAAATGAGTGTTAACGTGAGTGAATCTTACTGTACATGCACCAGTTGCATACAGAAGCTTTTTACAGAACTTGTTCTGTTTGAGCACTGTAAAAAGCAGAGGCCTGTAAAAATCGATGTGGTAATCACAACCAGAGGACAATAAAGAATGTGTGTGTGTGTGTGTGTGTGTGTGTGTGTGTGTGTGTGTGTGTGTGTGTGTGTGTGTGTGTGTGTGTGTGTGTGTGTGTGTGTGAGAGAGTGTGTGTGTGTGTGTGTGTGTGTATGGTGCATGGGTTTACAGACCCAGTCAAATCCATCAGGTGCAGCTATAGATTTGTGTATGTAATGTGTGCCATTTGAATTCTATTTTTTTACAGACCTATCCAAACGCTCAAACTAACGTGGAGGCATTTTTTCGGTACTCACATTAAATGGCTGTTCAAGGTTACAACTTGGTTATAGGGTTAATCCAATTATTCAACATTATGCTTCATTTTACTAGCTTATTCGCTTTCTTGCCAGCAATAAGATGAGAAGATCTCTTTTCTTGACCTGCATCTTCATTTTCACCGTGAGGTTGCCAGGAAACCAGTGCAGGCTTATTCAGACTCAGCTCTCTGAACTAAAGCTTCTTTTAAATGTTGATAAAACCAAGGTAATGCTCTTTTCAAAAGCTAAAAAGACACCAGAGCCTGTTTTAGATATTGTTACTACGCAAGGAATAATACTTGAAGTGGTTACCTGTTACAAATACCTTGGTATCTGGCTTGATGATTGTCTCTCTTTTAAACTTCATGTCAATAACCTGCTTAAAAAGCTGAGGGTTAGGCTAGGTTTCTTTTACAGGAACAAGTCCTGTTTCTTGCTTGAGGCCAGGAAAAGGCTAGTCACTGTGACCTTTTTACCTGTGCTGGACTATGGTGATTTGTTTTATATGAATGCACCTGCCCATTGCCTGAACAAGTTAGATGCTGCGTATCACAGTGCACTGAGATTTGTGACAAACTGTAAAGTATTAACCCATCACTGTACCCTGTATGCAAGGGCTGGTCTGCCTTCACTAACTGTACGGAGGCTCAGTCACTGGTACATTTTTATATACAAAGCCATGTTAGGGAAACTTCCATCCTACATCTGCTCCCTGATCTCACGGCAAATTGTAAGTGGCTACTGCCTGAGATCGCATGCTGTGGTTTTATTAAATGTGCCAACTGCTAGGACTGTCTTAGGGAAGATAGCTTTTAGATGCGCTGCTCCTCTGTCTTGGAATAGTCTGCAATTGAAATGGAAACTGAGCAATCTGGTGCCACTAAATGTTTTTAAAGCTTGGTTGGATGCTACTCAATCGGTTGCTGTTGGTACCTGTTCATGTGGATAGTTATGTAAATTGTAATCCCTGTAATGATGCTGTATGATGTCCTTTTTGTTGTTCTGTTTATGTTTTTATGTTTCATGTGGAACCTACTTGAGCAGAGGCCTGTACAACGAAGCTGGTTCAACTTAACCTGGATATGTTGGAGTTAGCCGGTTGGCCTAAGCCAAAACATACGCGCTGGCGCTAAACTGTACTACGACGCCGGTTATCAAGTGGATCGCTCAAGCCAGCCGTGTCCTATCTAGTTAGGTGCACGTTCACATGAAAGGGGTGGTATTTGGAGCATTCGACCAATCTCAAACACGGACAAGCGTACTGACAGCGCAGCGTCATACTTCCTGAATGAAAAGTGAACTTTAATATTAGTCAAATATGAAGAAGTTAAACTTTAAACATCCATGTCTTAAACACTTTATCCAGGATAAAAGCCACATAGCTGCACCTGCAAGGTGAATACAGCTGGTAAAAGAAAAAGTGTTTGAATGCGTACATTAACAGGTTTATGAAATCACTGCCCCGTCCAAGACACGAGTGGATCTGACTTTAATTAGGAGAATTTGACTCGAGTGTTTCGTCAACTTAATGTGTTGCTTAAAATAATACTTCTGCATACAGTATGTGACACTGTGAGTGTTGCACGGCCAGATACGGCTCAAGAAGCTGACTCAAATAAGGAAATATATGATACATTATGATGTGATATGATATGAATGATAATGGCACACATCGACGTCTGCACTCACAGTGCCGCGGACTGTACTTAATGTTACTCTGATCCGGTTACTTATGTCGTGGCAGATATTTACGTAAGCTTTCTTAACGCTAATATTATAATAGTCAGATTGCTCTGAAGATGGGAGGGGATATTCTATTAATTTTCACGGCCGTCTTTCCTGCAACGGCAGTTTTTCTGTATTTCCTCTATCCTGTAATATGACTTGATAGCTTTAAACTCCGCACACGGAGCTCTGATTGGTCAGCAGGCGGTGCTTTCACTGAGTTGATCTCTTAGCCTGCCACCTAACCTGCTCCGGAGCAGGTTTGCCGCTCAGCATAAGTTACCATGGAAATCTAGCCTGCTAAAAAGAGAACCAGCGTCGTAGGACCGGAAAGCCCGAGATTTCCCTGAATTTAGCCGGCTAAGCGAAAATCCAGCTTCGTAGTACAGGCCTCTGGTCTCCCTTGAAAAAGAGAGCAATGATCTCAATGGGATACACCTGATAAATAAAGGTTTGAAATGAAATGAAGGCTCCACAAGCTCAATGCTCCTGGCCAAGAAGAGGCATAACCCCCATAAAACCACACATTTACATTTGTATACTTTCTTTTTTTTACAAATGGCATTTCTATTTTTAATTATTTAGCTTTACAGGTGCTAGTTGGCAGATTTGTATACCTTTGGTTTCGGGATCCTTTCATTGAGTCTGATTATGTTTGTACAAATAAAATGTCCTTACCCCCTGAGTCACTCTGCTGTTGCTCTCCTTTTTACTCTGTTCTGGTGTGCGTGAGTGTGAATGATGTGTGTGCATGTTATTGTGCACTGTATGTGTTTGCGCATTAAGGGTGTGTGTATGTTTGTGCGCAGTATGTGCATGTCGAGGCATCCAGGTGACTCTGTAGTTGTGGACTGGCAGGTCTCCCTCTCCGGGGGGCTCCCAGCTTAATAACACGGACACTTTGACCCCACTTCCCCTCGACCTGGGGAGGGAAAGAAACAAGTCAAATAACATCACAACACGGATGTAAACAACTGTAAAATAATGAAGAAGAACGAAAGGAACTTCCTTAAAGGTCAGGTTTATAAGTAAATGCAGTTACAGTGACTGGCAGTTAAATAGATACTTGTTTGACAACTGCTTTCAATTTAGTTGTTTTATTTATCTATGCATGTGCACACATTTTATCATGTCACAGGGAAGCTACAATTTAAGTCCTCACCTCTGATATTAAAAGTTTTAAATCAATATCGCTACTCATTTAAGACATGGTCTGAACTTTACATGAAATTGTTTAGCATTACAGCACACAAATAGAAAGGAAGCTTCTATTTATGATTGGAAGAAGGTCAACGATGAACAGTAATTTGCATGCACACTCCACCGCATTTTATGATTGATAGCCCACAACGGCAGCCTGCAGTCCCCAAAGAAAGCATAGCAACTAACCTAACAAAAAAATAGCAAATACATTCATCCATATAATTTAGACTGCTGAGATACCTTTCAGGGAGCTTGATGCCCGGTTGTGAACCCGTCCAGTCTAGAGTCTGGTTGATCACTCTCACATTTATTGGATGCTCTGGAGTGGAGGGGTCTGCAGAGTGAGATGGTTGAGAACAAATAAATAAGAAGACCATATGAAATTATAATATACATGAAGGTACTCTTCTCAGCCCCAGTGCCTGCATGTCCGTTGCAAAAAAAAAAGTCTGAAGATCACTTGCTGCTTTTTTTTTAAATATGGATTTGGTCATGTCAAGTCACTAAATCAAAGAGAAACGCCAAAATAAACGTGGACATCCCCTGTGAAAAGGACACACTGGACATTTGTATCCTAACTGTTCATTTGGACCAATAACATACCAACAACAAAATGTGTTGTTCATCTACTGCCCCATCTTAAAGGTGGGGTAGGTAATTTTGGAGAAACCAGCTCGAGTGCGCTAGAAATTGAAAATACACAGCCGGAACAAATCTGCCACTTCCTTACAGAGCCCCTCCTCCAACACACGAACGTGCACATGACCAATGAGGGCACGAGATAAGTTTGTGCACAGATGGAAGGCTGACAGGCAGGTAGGCCATCCAGTTATTTTAGCCGGGACGGCTAAAATGATTGGTCGTACTTTTTACAGTACTACGGCTTCCACAGATGACATTTTTTTATGGATTTTTTGTCAAAGCACTTAAGATATTCATTGCTATCGGGATGTTAAGAGCATTCCATGGAATATAACAAAAAGTGTATCTCGAGCCGGTTTCTCAAACTTACCTACCCCACCTTTAAGGAAGCATTACATCTATATGAACATCTAGTGAAGACAAATTGGGGTTAAGATCGTGATTTCAAAAAAACAGAGGCCGCTCACCAGCTTGACTGAATTGTCTAATAGCTTGATGTCAAATGTGCAGCCGAGCAAAAATAAAGAAGCTGTTCTGGTGGGGGAAATACACATTTCCTCTTGGTCTCATTCAAGTCTAAAAGCCAATTAGATTTACAGCATCAAAAGGTGAGCGATACTCTCTACTCTCTTTTCAGTAGCTACCAAAACACAGACCGAAACGACCACCACTTCTCAGTGTTTGTCTCCAAAATTAAATCCTGAGGTTACTGCTCTTTCAACACTGGCTCTGTATCCCATTAGAAACTCAAGCCACAATCCTGTATTTGATTAAAACTACAACATATATCTGATTAGAACTACATCCCCCATGGCAGGCTTCCCACAGGCCACAGGCTATGCAAGGCTGACCCACTTGCAGAGATCAAAGTTATGGACCTGCCTTGTTTGTGTACGTTTCTTTCTTGGGAATACGCAGTGTGTGTCTCTCATGGTCAGCAGTAATTTCTGGATTAGATACAAAACACACCAAGGCCTTTTCCACTGTGTGTGTCTTTCTCAATCAGGAGGTTTTAGTCCAAATACTTTATGAGATGAAGACCTCAAGATGCGTTTCAGAACCAGACATTCCCTCGTAATTACTACTGGCAGGTACAGCGCAATCCTACTATCTGAATATCTGAATATGATCAGGAAAAGGGATTTTCAAATTCAGATTCTCTGTCTGGGTAGCATCAGGTCACAGCGGAGGAACTCCTACCATCCTGATATCTGCCAGCTTCCTGATTTGTGACCCCTGACCTCCAGCCCCTGAATGGTCAGACTAATGAATTGGAACCACAAGACTCAGACTCCTACTGAGGTTTAAGTGTGTGTTTCCTTAACCCTTAACCCTAACCCTCATAATGCATACATGAATACAAACAGACAAACACTGTGTCTTAAAGGAATAACTCAGTAATTTTTTATACAAGCTTACTTTCCTATCAGAGATTTAGATTACCAGGTCAGACCTTCATTTCGGTCTTTTGTATATACGGCTATAGCCAACAGCTACTTAGCATAGTTAGGCATAGAGAAACAGGGGAAACAGATATCCTTGCTCTTGTAATATCCTTCCAGCAGAGCAGGCAACAAGCAGAACATTCAGAAAGTTACTCCTCCCAGCCAAAGAATAACCCACATAATCCACCATAAAAGCACAAATTGTAGTTTTAACGACTGCTGGCTATGGCCCTAACCTGGAATTATGTTCCTGCAGAGATACATGTAAACGTCTTTGGGAACCTACACAGGGTATCCTTAGGTCACTGACGTGCACATCTCCCAACTCTCAATGGTGCCTAGCTCTGAGTAAGGTGAGCGAATTGTAAATCCTGTTGGGGAATTTTCTGTTTTCTTTCTAAGAGTTTGGGTATGATGTGTCAGAAAAGTAATGTACTGCAAAAAGGGATCTTTTAGTATAGCACAGTGAAAGTAATGCATCCCCATAGGCATTTCATGTCAGTACTCATCTTAATAAAGTAAATACTGTTGAAAATTGCTTATTAAATACTATTTTAACATTTTGAGTGGCCACCAGGAGCTGTTACAAACATACCATGGCACGAGTTGTGTATTTTGTAAACTTTTTTGCATAAGGAATTTATGATTGGATGTTATGTTGGAGGCGGTGGAAAATCTCAGACACCTCTTCATAATCTCCCCTAAGTGCTCAACTGATAAAGACCCTTTTTCCAAAGTTCGTTCCAACCTGAAGTCATTATTCACATACAACTATGCTCCAGCCAATCCTGGCAGGGGATTTATATCACCAGCCAATCCTGGCACAACACCAATATGACCTAAGTCTGCTAAGCATTAGAGCTAGGACCTGTGTGTGTGTGTGTGTGTGTGTGTGTGTGTGTGTGTGTGTGTGTGTGTGTGTGTGTGTGTGTGTGTGTGTGTGTGTGTGTGTGCGTGTGTGTGTGTGTGTGTGTGTGTGTGTGTGTGTGTGTGTGTGTGTGTGTGTGTGTGTGTGTGTGTGTGTGGGTGTGTGCATGTGTGTGTTATTCTCACTTTCACCCTGTCTCACTGATCCACAAAAGGGATTTGGAACTAAACCAACTGAATAAGTACTGTATGTGTGAATATGTGCATGTGCAGTTGTGTATCTTCTGCTTCCTGTCCGTGTTTTATGGACTGCCTGATAGTTCTCCTGCTGTGTGTACCTTATCCATCAACTCTGCGACAGATAAAGAACAGGGAAGGAGAGGAAGGGATACGAGTTTTCCTCAGAGAAGTGTAATATCGATCATAAAATGACACAAATGGAATCTGTGTTTTGCTCAGTGTCTTATGACAGAATATTAAAATTCAACAGAAATATGCAGGATGAAACATCCCTCTGTGGGAATCTCGTAACCGGGCTTTAAAGAAAATGAGAGCATGTGTTTGGACTGTGTTTGTGTTACCTTTACTGGAGATGTGGTGTTTGCTGGGTGTGGTGAAGCCTCTGCTGCCGTGGCTGTTGATGGCTGCTACTTTGAACTGGTACCAGCGCTGAGATCTCAGATCTGTCAGTCTGGCATCTTCAGAAAGGGTCTGAAAAATACAAATACATCATATAACCATGACCTGATGCATGACACCTAAAGACTTTTGTTGAAGATAATTTGCAGTCTTATATTTTTCTTCATCCAACAAAAACAATTGTTTGTGATTCATAGCAGATTTAAAGACTAACTTGCAGTTTTTCTTGTTTTCTTAAACACATTTCACCATTTAGAAGTTACATTTTTGTAACAGTTCATACACATTACTAAAATGAAAATCGATGGCCAACATGACACATTTAAAGTAACAACAATAGCATAAATATCTTTGAAAAAACACACATTGTGGACATATTTATATTATCATTCAATCAACCATTACACAATTTGTCCTGGCTTACAGCCAGCTGCTGATTAGCTTAGTTTAATTAACCAAAGGCTCACTGATTACAAAGATATATCTTGTTTGTTTTAAACAGAAGTGTACTGGACTATTTCTTGGAAGTGGGAGGCGTGTGGCGCAGTGGATAGAGCCTGGGTCTGGGGATCAGATGGTCAGGGTTCAAACCCCACTGCAGTCAGCATGTCATTGTGTCCCTGGGCAAGACACTTCACCCCAAATTGCTCCTGTGGGGATTGCCCACAGTATTGAGTATGTAAGTCGCTTTGGATAAAAGTGTCTAACAAGTAACATGTAATGTAAAAGTGACTGCATCCTGCTAAGAAACAGAACGGATAAAGATGAAACAACGGGAGACGTAACATGCAAATCAGAGCTTTAGAGTTGCTGGCAGGGAGATTTTGTTACCTTTGAACAGACCATGCTAGATGTTTTCCTGTGTTTCCAGTCTCTTTGCTAAGATAACCAGCTGCTGGTGGTAGCTTCATTTCAAGCGTGCAGACATGAGAGTGTTCAATCTTCTCATCTAATTTCTGGCGAGAAAGGAAATATGCATATTTCCCAAGACGTAATTGTGTTGACTTAACATAACTTCAGGTCATTCAAGTTTTTAATACTTAAAGGGGACCTATCAGGCAAAATGCACCTTTGTACGTCTTTTATACATGAATATGTGTCCCCGGTGTTCCAGGGAACTCACCAAGTGTCAGAAAACACAACCCTCTCTCTTTTCCTCCATACCCAAATCTCTAAAAACGGGGCTGCAACGGATCTGATACAGACTGATCCAGATTTGAACATTTCTCTGACGTCAGGACGGAGGAGCTCCGCCTATATGGCCAACTCTCCACCTATCAGGGGAATGAGAGGCTGCCGTGGCATGGTAACAGCATGGTAACACGACGCTCGTAACTCGGCCCCCTCCTTTGCAGGGGGGCGTGGTCAGCTGCAGCGCATGCAAAGACAGGGTGGAGGAGAGCAAAATAGAGCGAAATGAGGCATGGCTAAAATGCCTGTTTGGTATTTTGAAAAAGAAAACGTATAAATATACCTTATATAGGTATGGCCCTACAATATATTATTCAAATATAGCATGATAGGTCCACTTTAAATTACTGTGATTTTAATAGTTTTAACAGAAACAGTTCGTACTGTTCAAGCCCACGTTAGGCACGAATATTCCATCATCTCTCACAAATCCATATTATATCTTCTTTCAAAAATATAAACATGGGACCTCCATACTTTAGAAATATAAGTTTCACAAATTAATGAAGTGGAAAGTCAGATGAACACTGTCGGAATGAAATTCCATCTGATAATAGTGAAATTAAATGATTTGCCACAATTATGGTTTACATTTCTGAAGAAAGATTCTCATGTTTTGTCTCCCTGACAGTGCAAATGTAATCAACTGCTTAAAATAAAAACACACGCACACACACACACACACACACACACACACACACACACACACACACACACACACACACACACACACACACACACACACACACACACACACACACACACACACACACACACACACACACACACACACACACACACACACACACACACACACACACACACACACACACACACACACACACACCACACACACACACACACACACACACACACACACACACACACACACACACACACACACACACACACACACACAAGCTGCCATCTATTTAAGTCTATAATGAGCGTTCAGTCATTCAGACTCAGCCGGTGGAACGACTGTGGCTGCCTGTGGTTCCTTTTTAAGCTCTGCTTATTTACCTAACCTCACACAGACACACGCACACACTCACTCATACACACACACACAGACGCAGGGTTTACCCTGGCAGAATGTGCGACTGGCTGGGGTGGAGAGGTTTAGACAGCAAGGCAGCAGACTGATGAGGTGGAAACAAAGTCTAACATCCATCTCCATAGCTGAGAAGTTTCATCATTCGAGGCAAATTGAGAGTTATGAGTTAAAGATATGTTGCAAACTTTGTTGCGCTGTCCCACTGTTACAGGCACAGGGAAGCATTTTTTATAGCTTCAATTAATCTTGGACATGTCACATTTGTATCTATCAGCGTCCCATTTCACAGCTTATCTCTCCAAATAATATTGAGAGGATGATATCACCATCTCTTCAAATGTGAAAAGATTGATCAAAAACATGAATTCTGCTTTATTATTTAAATATTTAAAAATCCTAATGACCCGGTTTTTAAAGTTGAAACGCTCCTGATCACTGAAATTACCATGGCAACAGTAGTCCATGGAGAGGCATGGTCCTCGCTGGGATGGATCCCGGCGTTCCAGCGGGACTGGAGCATGTAGACGACCGGCTCAATGCTGACATTAAATTTGGAGACCCACACCACCCGAACACGACCCTCTGAATCCTCCACGAAGCTCATCTCTCTGCGAGGCTTCAGAGGAACCCCTGGGGGGACATGACAAAATACATTAATATAATTATTATTGAATATTAGTGATGTTATTAGAAAGTAAAAATACATATACACAACATCTAATAACAGGAACTAATTTTGAGATTAATTGTTGAAGGAAATAAGTGCATGATACGTATTCATTTGTGCATAAAAAAAATAGGATGATCCCATTAATCATGCAGCAGTTGTTATTGGAGTATACAATGACTTGATTGAGTTATGACATTTTGTGGATCAGAAACTCAACTTAAAGCAAAAATATAAATATCACTCAACAATATTTTTTTGGGTTTAATTATTATGGCTGTCCAATCTTCACCACATAGGCACACATGAGGCAGTTTGTAGTCCTGACTAGCTCCACACAGACTTTAGCTGGAGCTTTTTAACCACAACGTGGCCGTCTAGGACTTCAGAAGCAGTCAAGCAGGCAGTATTTAAGGATCTTTATTACATTAAATTACAATTACATTTATGTGGCATATTCTGTTAACCAAAGAGACATACATACATTTAAACACCATAGAAACAAAGGCTAGCAATCATCAAATCACTAAAACAACCAAAAGCATGTTCAGTGCAATTAATAATAAGCACTGTCGGCCAATGATAGCATTTCAACGGACAGAAATACTTTTTAAATGGCTGCTTAACAAATGATTAATATTAGTATTGTTACTGTGAATCAGCACAGTGACATACTAATTGATTCCTGAAAGAAGTTCTCTCCATCAGTTCAGCAGCCAATAAACAATAAAAACAGGCTCCAACCTCACCTTTATATAGATTGGCTGGTGCTTGGCATGTGTGCCCACAGCCATTAGAGCAGCATTTCCTGGGGGAGGGACAATGCTGGTCTGACGAGCAGCTCTCCACGCAGGCCGCAGCAAATCCGGTGGCTTTTTGAGGCGGAGGGCAGTCCCCCTGACGAGATGACCTCAGAGAGGTCAGAAACTCCCGGCTCGTCACACACTCGGTCTGCTTCTGAGAAAAAGAACAGGGGGGGGATGTTATCATTACAGCTAACACAACAGAAATAATGTATAAACACACATATGAGGGCAGAAAAACACACAGCAGAGGTGAAAGTGTTTCCTTTGGTAAACTCTACTGACTCTTTGAAGGCAGCCCTTGAGATTTGGTCTGAAAGGGGGGTCATGTGTGTATTATTGTGTTTGTATCTCACATGGCTGGAGATCATCATAATGTAAACACTAGCTTTAGCTAATAGCTCTGAATTACCCAGTGTTCCTAACCGGCCAGCCATTCAACCAGTCACATGCTTCAGTTATTGTGATGAAAAACTAATCTGAAGACCACAGCGACTGGCTTTACAAATAATCATTTAGGGCCACACACACTATACACATAACTTTTACACTCTCACATGTATACATGTATAAGCTCACAAACATGTTATTCATACTACACACATAAGCTTGCATAAACACACACACACACACACAGGAATACTCAGTCAGAAAATAGCTTCAAGGTGCCAACAAAAGCATGTTTCTGGAGCAGGAATGACACAGCCACCAAGGGTGTTGTCACACACACACACACACACACACACACACACACACACACACACACACACACACACACACACACACACACACACACACACACACACACACACACACACACACACATACACACACACACACACACACACACACACACACACACACACACACACACACACACACACACACACACACACACACACACACACACACACACACACACACACACACACACACACACACACACACACACACACACACACACACACACACCACACACACACACACACACACACACACACACACACACACACACACACACACACACACACACACACACACACACACACACACACACACACACACACACAGCACGCTAAGCACTCTCTTTTTGTCTTACCTCACACGACTTTGGTGAATGCACCTTCCTGGTTTCCCACAGTTCTTTGCATGGCTGAAGGCACTACACATAAACAAATACATAGAAATAAACAGAATGATACAATTATAAAAGACAACAATTGTATATCAACACGTTCTTCAAATAAAATGCTGTTAAACCGGAGGCGATACCTTGTCCTCTTGTCAGCTCATTCCTCATGCTACCAGTTGTTATGTTTAGCTATGCTTCAGGCTGATATTTAACGGATCTATTGATCTATTTCTACATCAGAAAGTTAAAAAAAACATTTCCAAAAGTTTCTAAACCAAGTGCAATATACAGTAACTTTCTTTGTCCACAGGCCAAATGGCTAGTGAATACATTGAATATTACCCGCCACTGAATTGATTGCTATTTCTGGGTATCTGTACTACATGTAAGGTATCGACCTAAAAACTCCCAAGTAGTATCAAGGTATCTGCAGTCCACCCTTTCTGTACCCAGATCTAGAAAACATGACTTTTTTGTATCGTTTAGCTTGGAGCATTCTTCGGTTTTAGCAGTGTGTGATTGGCCATCTACCACAGTGGATAAACCAATATGGTCTGTGGTGTGGTGAGGTTGAACTTAGTGTTTATCACAGAATTGGCAGCTAATATTTAACAGCACCATTTTTACAGTCAAGGGTAACATTTGGGGTTTTTCAAATGATACCCACAGATTACGTTTATTTCACCAGCATTTTACTTGTGCTTATTTTGAGCCCATTGTCTTTTCCTTTAAATAGCTGAGTTCTGAAGAATTGTTAGAACAAGGATAAATGACAAAGTGTCAGAGTTTTAGCATATCCAGGGCTCTCGATGTTTAAGCTGTGAGGGAACAGAGAGAACACTCACTCCTGGAACACACATGCACACACTCATCTGGTTTGCCACCTCAATGAACTGGTGAATGATGGCTCTTACCAAATTAAAACCAGACAACATATAAAATCTGCGGTTTCACCCCAACCTCCTCCCCCTCCTCCCTCCCTCACTCCCTCTGTCTGTCTCCCTCAGCTCCACAGTGTGCCTGGCTTCAATCATTTCTCCGGATGACTCCATCTCACTGATTCCAGGGAACAAAAACTATCAACAAAAAACTATAAAACTTCATCTTTTATACAAATAAATGACTACTGTTGCATTAAAATGATTCTCCATAATCCTAGGCTGTTTTAAAAAGGCTAATTTGCAGTGTGAAGACTATAAATACATTTAGGGTTATCATCACCCTCTAGCTATGCATTATACAACCATGTAAGCGTTCATTTAATGTACTCAATAAAAGACATTAACTTGTTGCTGGGATTCATACAGCATCAACAAACCAAAGCCAGTCAAGCCACATGTGCTGGTGTCTTAACATAAAATGGATTCTCAGTGGGAATCATGATAGCTGTTCAATGTTGTTGTTGCCTCATTTCCTACAAGTCATGGAAGAAAAAAGTTTGTGTTAGCTAAAAGCAACACTCCACCCTGAAGTCTCCCTAAAGAGTAGTAAACACTCTGTATGCTTGAAATACGACAGTAAAAATGTTCTTCTCCACAGGGCTGTAGTCAGATAAAATTGATGTCGGCTACAATGGATTCCAAAATTATCAATAAATAAATATAAATATCAAGAAAAATCAAGAAATTATGTTGATTAAGCGTGACCATCACGTTTTACCGCACATTGGTGCACCTCGTTGAAAAACAATTGTTTTCTATGGCTTTTTCAAGATTGTATAACTTTACCTTTTGGGGTCAAACAATCATGTTAACTTCTTTTATATTTTATTTAATAAAGAGGTAAACACAAATCTATCAATAAACATTGTCTCCTTGCTATTAAACAGATACTGCTTCCCTTCTCAGGCACATTTTATTTTGAGCAGGCACATGCTTTAATCTGGAGACTGTCAAAGCCATTTAAAATAAGGGTAGCCAATTTATTTTAAAGCATTTTTCCTTTTTTATATATATACTCTTTACATAATGGCAGCAAGCATATACCAATGTTTAAGAAGTCTGGGTCAACCACATACACACTTGTGAGTCTCTTTTTTCTACCACTTGTTGCTCACTTTTTCCAAATCTCCCTAAAAATGAAACGCACTAACCCACCATTCCCTACCGTCCACACGAACCGACCCATTGTCTATTTCACACGTGCACTTCACCTTGCATCCACTCATCCTTAGCTGCCAGTTTGATCAGTTACAGACATGTTTAATTTCTTATATCCTCCCTTTGTCCTTTCTCCCTCCCTTCCCTTCCTGTTCTTTTGAGTTCCTGTCTTCACATTATCACCCCTTGTCTTCTGTGGACTTTTCATCTCTTCCTTTACGTCCTTCCTTTCCTCACCTCAACACTTCCCCTCTCTTTGATTCTGTCCCTGTCTTACAGGTTTTGTTTTTGGTGTTTACGCGTTGTTATATAGAGCACGTGGGCCCTCCCTGTGAACTAAAGGTTTACATGTTTTTCGCAATCTCACAGGTTTGGGTCTTTTTCCTGTCATTATCTCTACTGTATTGTATCTAACAAAGGCACAAATGCCCCTAAAACTAGATAAATAAACACATCCATCCTTTAGGTCTGAATGATAAGAGGAAAATATGCGTCAGTTCTGTTTGCTTTCTCCCTTCTTTGACTAATGGTTAAATGTAATGCAGAACCATTTACATGCATTCGTATTAGAGTATTATTTTACACTAGGACATCAATATAAATGTAATAGTACAGTAGGGAGAGAAAGGCAACAGAGGTGGGTTCTGGGGAGTCGAGGATAATGGATTTAAGCAAAAACACTCATGGTATGCACATGAGTCACACCTTACACTCTCAAATATCACTTAGATGTTGTAAATCACTGAAAGGTACATGCACTGTATTTGTGTAAGAGCAGCTGAGAGACAAATGGACATTTCTGGCCTTGAAAGCGCAATGATGAGTTATGTGTGGGAGTGAGAGAGCAGTGGTCAGAGGTCAGAGATGTTACTGTTTAACACACCAACACACTGTAACAGGGCCCAGATTAATGACCGCGTGTGTCTGTTTGTGTGCACAGCTTGCATGGGAGCTGCTCAGATATCTGTTATAATTAATCACACACACACATACACACACACCTTGTCTCTGGGCCCTCATCGGGGCCTCGCCTGCTGTTTTATGGCCTCACCTGCCACGATAGAGGGATGACAGCCACACTCAGCGAGAGGGAGGAGAGGAAATGGGAGAGGGAGGGGAGGAGAGATGTGGTTTCAGAGTGGATAGAGAGGGGGGGGGGGGCGGGTGAGTGTCAGTTGAAAAGGAGAGAAGAGATGAAAGACACGTAGTGAAACAGGTCCAGAGGAAAGAGAAAGAGACAAAGAAAGACAGCCACGGACCAGATGTGCTCACTCAGTCTCCAGTTCAGTGGGTGCAGTGTTTAAAATGATTTATGTTCATTTATGTGTTCAGACTTTCATCGGTTGTTTAAATACTGTCCACCAATCAGAACATATGCTTAGTATTTAGGATTAGTTACCATTTAATTTATTTTGCTGTTCCTTGAGTTTTGATGTCAGCACTAACGCCGGTCAAGTGCCAATCTCAGCCATACTTTTTTTATTTTTACAAAACTGTTCTCAATTCCTAAATTTAACATAGGCATTTCTTCTACAAAAGCCTTTAGCTATCAACAAAGGACGTCAAATGTGAATCATTGAATATAAACAAGCTGCAATGATATATATATATACAGATCAGAAACTATCAGACCTTGTAAGACCTTTAAACCTCTCTGTATCCATGTGAATGAGATGGAAAAGAGTTGTAAAATGGTTGCTATGACTGCATACCCCAATATGGTGATATCCTGTGTGGTATTACCAAGTGAGAGCAGATTTCAGAAAAACCTGGTTCTTAAGAAGGTTTCTTCTTCTAGAAAATGTACTCTTACTCACGTTTTAAACACAAAAAAAAAGTGAAAGTGATTTTCCATCAGCTTTTCTCATCTTCCACCAGCAGCTATTCTGAAAACCTGAAAGCTCTGTTTGAAATGAAGAAAGGCTTCCTCATCGTGTTTTCTACTGCAAAGCAATCCAGCAGATTTCCTCCAAAATCCTACCTGGAGGTTACTGCAGACCCAGTGACATAAGATAGAGACGTGACACAAACTGTGAAAATGTCTAATGAAATGTTTTTGAACCAACATTGTAATTGTTGAAAAGTAAAGTGTGTGAAATGTGATTCTGGAGAAAACTAGAAGAACATACACTATAAACAAAAATATTCCAATAAGAAAGATCGCAGAATACATGTGCAAAGGTTTAATAACTCTATGTGAATATAAATCAGAATTCAGTTCAACTCGTCAGGCCATAATTGTCACACCTGAAATTAATTAATGAGGAATGGTTAATTGATGTGACAGTTACTGCCATATTTAATGTACAATATAAGAAAAAGATCATGAAATATCTATATTATAATAACTTGTTTTGATCCAGGTGTCAACAAGTGTTCTTTTGATAGTGCAGACTATATGTAAATGCTAAATGAGATCCTACAGAAGATTTGAGAGGTCACGAACACGCTTGTTTTATGTTTTGAACGTGCACACACACGCACCGACATACACACACTTCGGGATATGTAGTACCCGGGAGAAAAGTAGCAGAACAAATTCCACAAATCCCTTTGAAAAGCATTTTAGACTTTTGCCAGACCTTTGGAAAAACATGTCCAACAACCAAAGCAAACTTAAGTCGGCAGCTTGCGGAGGAGTGGAGAGGCTGGAGGAAAGAGAATAGAGGAAAATGAGAAGAAGTCCTGAGGACAGTCAAGAAGACAAACGCTTAGCAAAGAGTCCAGTGGTGAAATGTCTTACCTCTCAAACCAAATGTGCCCACAATAACCTCAGACAAAATACTTTTCGTTATCTGTGTTTCTCTTAATCCTTTTTCTTTCTGTGCTTTCTCTGCATCTAAAATAGAACTAGTAAATTATGCTTGATGGACTACTCTACTTCGGATGGAGAAACGAAGAAATGATGGATAACAAACAGATTATTGTGAG